TTGAGTCTCTGATCTCTAAAAATCTCCAAATGTTCCACGTGAAACTGCGGTCTTCCAACCTTTTACTATCATGTCAAATGATTTGAATAACATGCGCGTTGGTAGGAGCACAAGTCATTTTTTGGAGGTATACTGCCCCCATCTGTTATGGAATATGGAGTAGGATTTGATTTATGATGTTAGATGGCACCTTTAAAGAGGTGATGAACTGAGAAATGAAATTTTCCTTGAGCCTTTGACATCTAAGAGGTCATCATATTATAAGAATATCCTGTAAGTTTCAGAACTGAAAATGTCCTTGTTAGTCCAATAAAAGCTTTGATTGACACCAGCCGAAGCAAACGACTCATTTTTCAAAGTGGGGAACTTTGTCGTCAAAGAGGATAAAACACCACCCCCAGAGAAGATCAACACCTACTTCAACACGACCGGTTTAGCCCCGCCCACTGATTCGCACATTCACGCATAGCTAAATAACATGCCTATATACCTCGTGATGACAAACTGGATCGAGCTACCAAGCAATACAAAATATTGTGCAGCGCCTGGTTGTGGAAGAAGACAGTTGCTACATAAGCTTCCTCTCGATTCCAATAGGACTGCATGGATAAACTTTATTTTTTATGACGTTCCAGCTGATGAGGTAAACATTGTTCGTCTGTTCGCTTCATTTCACTGAGGATTGTTTTGTAAACAAGACTGGATTTGCAGACCGATTAAAATTAAAGAACGGTGCTGTGCCGTCTATATTGGATCTGATAGGAATTGTGCAACACACGGACTCTGGGTCGAACATGTATGGGCGAATCATTCCGGTTGCCATTTTACAACATTGGACGTTTTCAAAACAATTTCCCCGAAGTGTATCGACGGGTGAGTTGAAACTCATTATAATATGCAAAACTGTTCTCCACTCACAGCAGTGGGCGTTTACTTCCAAGTGTTCAGTGCAAGACGCCCATAAAAACCGAGCGTTTTTCAACTAGGCTCAAAACTAGGGTAGAAAATAGCCTATTACTTATTCATTTTGATGCTTTTGAATGTAAAAACCAAGCAGACGTCATAAGTTGACCTCAGACAACAATATAATAAAATTTAAAAAGCCAGTTCATGACCGTTTAATGTATTTCAGAAAATTTGACAAAAAAGAATGTAAAACATTGAACTTCATACATTTGCAACGTGTTTGTCAACTTTGTAAAGAGTGGAAGATGTTTCCAAATAATGAAAATACGGCATCCGTTTTGCAAAAAGAACAATTTTTTTCTAGTACCTTTAACTCCACCTCAGCTTAGCCAATGGATATTTTGATGTTTATGTGAATATCAAGTGTTTAAACTCAGCGCAAATTTAAAATGTGCATAAATGGAATGGAAAACCAGCAACTGTCCGCTTGGACTGAACGTCCATGCAAAACATCTAACTCTAAATTGCGATGTAACCTTAGACTTTAAAAGAGAAATGTGGAATTTTTAAGAGGGCAGAATTACAGTTATTCATCACATATGGGGTCTAATTCATCAGCCCTGAAGGCACGAGAAGATGAACTCTGTTTACCACTAAAGCTATTCTGGCTGTTTTGGAAGTGGCCATCAATCTCCAGCTATCTTTAAAAAAGAAAGCATCAGTTTCAATCACCCAAGAGACGGCTAGTCAACTGCTGAAAAGATTTCTCTTCTCCTCCTTGTCTCTTCAAGGTGAAGTTTCCCCAACTGACGTGAAGACCCTGGGGAAGCGTGATATTAATGCTTTAAAATATAAAAAATCCTACCAAAAATACACATGTGACTCCACTCTTTGGCCCTGCTGTTGTTCTCAATTAGCAACTTCAATTAACCTGTGCAACTGAGGCCTCTAGATACACCAAGACCTCATTGGCCTACAAAGATGGCAGTCTAAATGTGAAAGCATTTTCCTACAAGTGATTTTCGCTGTGCTCTATCATCTCCTATGGTGCGGGGAAATAAACATGGACCGGAATTGTTTTTAGATTGATGTCTAAGACCAGAATGTTCTTCTCCCTAACCATCATCCTATTTAGCCTGAGCAATAATATGACTTTGTTTATCAGCGCTTTTACTTTGATACTAGCAATTGCATTGGCCAATTACCTCAGCGGGAGGCCAGTGTTGCCCTGCTCAGTGTGTTGTTGTGGCAAGAAGAACAATTAGTAATGCAAATCTCTGTCCACTGTGAGGAAAAAAAAAAGATGTGATGGACCTACAGGGCTGGCATCAGACAGGACAACTGGGAGTGCTGTTCAGGGGCCTGTGATGAGGGGAGTCCACAAAGGTCCTATCTATATTTGAGTCTTCAAAACAATAAATCTCCACAAAATCAAAATGATGACATTATTGATTTACCCTCATGTCATTACAAACCTGTTATTTTTTAGTCTATACATAAAGATCATACTGACCACATCTTAATATGCATACATTTTAAATGTATGCAGTTTAAGCATAAACTTAAAAAAAAGTTCCTACAGTTGTGTGCTATATTCAAAGTACTGAAGCCATAAATTAGCTTTGTGTAAGGAACAGACTGAAGTTTAAGACTTAGTCATTGAGTCTGTAAGATTGGAGCAAATCAGTCCAATCAGCGAATCATTCAATGAACCATTTACACTGAAACTGAAGAGATTTGTCTCAAATAAACAATTGGCTTTATGCCCAGCTGCACTACTTCCTGAACTTCAGCCAGCTTCTTGTTTCCTGTCTGCCATTATTGGCCAAATTGATTAATTCAGGTGTGTCTGATTATTGTTGCCATGACAACTGAGGTCAGGCACACCTGGATTAATCAATTTGGCCAATAATTGCAGACAGGAAACAAGGAGCTGGCTGAAGTTCAGGAAGTAGTGAAGCTGGGCATAAAGCCCATTCAATCATGAATTGAACACTCCTAACTTCAGTGAACAAATCATTCATACTGTGTTTTTTTTTAAAGAATGTTCAGATTATGAGCAAATATATATATATATATATATATATATATATATATATATATATATATATATGAAGAGTTCAGATGCAAAAGCCTCTAAAATGCCATTTGAAATTTTTTTCTTGAATGATGATTTTTATCAAACTTGTATATTTAAGTTCAGTAATTTCACTTAAATAACAATTAATAGGTAATCATCATTGCCATTTAAGTGAAATTACTGAACTTAAATATACAAGCTTGATAAAAATGATCATTCTAGAAGAAAATTTCAAATGGCACTTAGAGGCTTTTGCATCTGAACTCTTCATATATATATATATATATATATATATATATATTAATCTAAGCTGTTCATTGGATCAATTAATCCAGTTCACAAAATGTCTATGAATGCTTTGATCACCAGAAGTAGAATTAGTCTTAAAGAATGAATTGTTCTTTTGATTCATTTTTATTTTTTTTTTCAATGAAGAATTTTTCAAATTAAATCAATTGAAATTGGTCTTAAAGTTAGGCAAGGGGCGATGGGAGTGCCAGCAATGTGTTCACTAGGAAGTTTAGAAAGCCTTACTGGTCACGTATGAACACACATTATACACACAATATTTACACCTGTGTTCTACCTGAGGAAGAGATTCTGACCTTTCTCAGAATACCCATTATCCACAAGTTAAGAGCTGTGGAAGATAGGGCTGTTGAGATGGGGGGAGGTGAGCAGTGATGTCTGACTCCCATCTAGCTCTATTTTCTTCAATAGTGTTGTCATGAACAAAGCAATGTCTAATCTTTTAAGTGAACAAATCGTTTTTTATTCAATTCCATGCACTTACAACTCAGAAATCTCTCCTGTCACAGAAGTGCTTTGGTTAATTTTTCCTGACTTCAAAGACTTTATATACAAATAGCATAGACATGCCGTAGCCTATAATTGGTTTGACCAACTGAATGAATATGGCCTTTACTGAACTACGTGGAGGAGTCATACTTGTACACTATATGCTAATCTAGCATGTTACTCTTATTATTTTTGCCATATGCTTTCCTAATTTCAGCCTTAAAGTAGAGTCAATGAGACATCTTGTCTCGAAAATGAACTAAATGAACTGGGACAGGTCATTTGCAAACGAAATGAACAAAGAAGCTACCTCTTTTGTGAACAAGAATTTGAACAAAAAAACTAGTAGGCTTGATTTCGTCACACATTTGAGTTCAGAAAACTAGTTTTAATGGCTGGAACGTTTTTTTCAAGCGGTTACTGATTATGGATTGATAAAAAGAGTTATCAAAAATCCCCTCAGTAAAAACTCCAAACGAATGTGAAAGTATTTAATTAAATATAGCCTCAGTTGCATATTTAAAAAAACATTTCAGAAAACCTGTAATACAAAACAAATACCATAATGTATTGTGATTACCACTCGTTTCATGTCTTGGGCCATCAATGTGTACTTACATTTACGAGTCATTAAATCATGTTTAATCTGGACTTCTCTGTGCATGCTCTTTGAGGTGGTGACCATAAACCTCCATTATATGACTGACAGACAAGAACGGTTTGACCTAAAAATATCAAAATTGAAACTACTGCAGAAACAAAGACACCTACATCTTGGATGCCCTTGAGGTAAGCTAAAACATACCGAACATTAATTTCAAACTGAACTATCCCTTTAATCAACCGATGAAAGAATAGTGATTTTAACATTTAATTTTAATTTTAAGAAGAGTAATTTTAACTAATGTATATATTATATATGTGTTAGTTTAAATGTTTACACTGTAGTGTCTTGCTTACGAGGATTGTGTCTCTAGCGTCATAACAACCGTTGCAGCATTGGTAGAAATTGTAAATACACAAAGTCTGTTGCTTTACAACAACCTAACAAACTGAACTCTGAAGCCAAACCAGGCAAATCAAGTATGGTAATTAAAACCGTGAACCTTTGATAAGGCACAGAGTATTAGGACACTATGGAAAACATAAACTATTAATATGAAATCTGAGATGTCATGTCGGGAATGGCCTGTAATGACTCACACATACTACTTACCCTAAGAAAGGACAGGTCACGACTGCGATCGATGCTGGTGATCTCGAGGTTCCCCATCACCACCTCGCAGTTCTCGTAGTATTTACGAAGGGTCCGATACTGCTGGTCCAGGTCTGACAGCGTACTCAGTTTATTCTCTGTACCAGTACACACTGCAAAAATAAAAATAAAAAAACAATAATTACGTTTTGATGTAAACAATGCTGGGACTAGTTGATGCAGGAACTGGTTGGTGCTTCAGTCCATCCAGCAATACAATTCAATCATGCCTGAAGACAGACAAGGAGGCTCAAGGCCCAGACGGACAACTTGACAAGTAATTAAACAGAGCCATTTCTGCTCATCAAACTCCTTGCACCAATCAAAGATATTTGCCATCTGTTGCATCAGCTGGCAGTGCCTTTGAGCCAAGAGTGTAGCCCTCCCTCTCACGCCTCACTGAACCACTGTCACAACATCCACGAGCAAATCCACGCCTATCCCATGCCACCGGCTCTCTGCCCACCAGAAAGACAGAGAGAGAAAGAGGAGTCCGCTCATGACACCATGTGATTAGACTAACTGACAATGCAACTACACAAACTGTATTATATTTGAAATACAGCTACAGATGTTTGAATAATGTTATGCTACTTTCTTACTGTATATGCAACAGCAGAGACCTTATTCATCAAGTGCTCATTACCAAACTCACACAAAATGAAGCGGGGGTGGTTGATTCATGTCGAATAAATTTTTTTTTTTTCTAGGCCACATCTCCAAGCCTTCAATTTAAAGGAATATTTGACCCACAAATCAAACGTTTGCCATTTACTCATCATTTACTTTCCCTGTGACTCGACCACTGAGCTGAACTTCAACTCAGTATGATTCATGATTCAATCATTGAGACTGCATTTCTTACAATCAGTGTCACCCTAAGTAGATTGTAGAACCATTGGCACCAATGTTGTCTACTATCAGCTTAGCTCACAATGCTTTTGACAACTGTTTTTGTGAACTGGCTCAAATGAGTCATTGGACATATTTGACTCAAAATAACATCATTTACAACATCTTTACTTCTCTTGTAAACATATAGCTACGTTAGATGTCCAGTATTTCAGTGAATCACAACTTTAATTTCAATGAGTTCAATTATATAGATTCAGAAGTCTTGAAACACAGACTTTTATTATGTTTTATGTTGCTTTTGCATCATTTTAGAAGCTTGAAAGTTTTTTTTTTTTTTTTTTTGGAAAATGAAGGAAGAATGAAAGCCTACAAGAACATGAGTTTAATCCTCTCTTATTATCCTTGGAGTCAATTTGACCCCATTCAATGTTTAACATCCATAAAGTTCACATGACATGTGACATAATTCTCATAAGAACTCATAATTATTTCCTGTGCCATGGGGGAGGGGAAAACATCATTTTTGCGAGATTGACCCCAAACATAACTCATGTTAACCTGTTAACTGTCACCCCCCTTTTTTGAATAGACATGAAAATGCACATTTCGAACTTAAATGGTTGTAATTCAAGAATGCTTTGGAATATAGACATATGATTGGTCTTGTTTTAAAGAAGACATTTGGAAGATTTTTGTAGAAGTGAAATAAATTAAGAAAGTGAAACAGAAAAAAAGTTATAGAAGTTTGAGTTTATGGAAATGTACAATGTAAAAATATTAATTATTCATATTTTACATAAAATATATATTTTCAAAACCTGGGCTACTCTAAAATGGCAGAAAGATCAAAGCCAAAAATCTGAACAAGTTGTGTTTCAAATTTTAGGTTGATATCTCAAAAAATGAGCTTTCAGTAAGATTTTGTTTGAGCGCAGTACCAAACTTTTTCACTAGGGCACAATCAGACTCCATTACTGCCCATATAAGGGCGCCTGCATTTCCATTCATGTTTTGAGTGATATGAACCATTATTTTCACAATTTTCATACAATTTCTGAAGTAGAGATCCTATTCAGAAGTAGTATGGGAAGTTTGGCAGATTTTGATATGAATTGAACCTCTAAGAAACACATACAAAGAACACGCATGTAAGTCATAGCTAGCTGCCACGTCACAAATGGTGAATTTATTATTTTTTTCTTGATATTTCAAACTTTTCAGACCTTTTTTTTCAAAAATAATTGAATGGATTCTATCTTTTGAACTTTTGGCATGAAAACAAACTGAGGTATCTACCATTTTTTCATGAATTTTCATGTTTACTGCTATTTAAAAATAAAGGTCTGAACACGCCTTATGACTATGAAAATATTCTTGTTTTATATTGATAAATTATGGCTCCTCTGTAATATATTTTGAAAATCAGTCAAAAAATATGGAAACTAGAGATTGTAAGCTTTCAAATGATATATAGTTTGTCAATATTATTTAAGGTATTTATTAAGATATTATTGTTTTAAAAATATAGTGGCAAACGTCCCACCTGTGGGACGGTGACAGTTTATCCTTGATAAAATAAATTGTTTTTCTTTCCAAATGTTATAGATTACAAAAAAACTATAGGCTACTTAGAAATATTATAAAAACAAATAAAACACCAGATATATTGGTACTTTCCAATTTTAGGTCAATCAGTAAGATTTTATGTTGATTTGTAAATTTGTCCATAGCCGTGCAATGGGTATTCTGGATGTATAAGGGGTGGTGGGTGGATGTCAACTTAAAAAGGTTACTTAAGTAGTCAACAAAAGTAGTTAAAAACAAAATCATAATGTGGAGGTTTAAATTACTGGGGTCAAATTGACCCTAATGGGTAAAAAGTGTTTTCAGATTTGAGGGTAACTGTTGGCAGAATATTCATTATTTTTTACTTCAATCACACTGTTCAAAAGTACTATTTATTTCTTAGTCTAACCATTTTAATGATCAACAAATTACTGAATGCACTTTAGGAAAGTATGATTAATTCTGATTTTGTGTTGTCTTTTTTTAAAGACCTCAAAGCTCTAAAGTCTTCATTAGTAATCAAGAGAAGCACATAACAACCCTCCATATTCTCCCTCAAAATAGTTCCCCTAAAAATACAGATTTTGAGAAGAATATAAAATGGAGAGAGATTGAAATACGTTGAGGTCAGGTGTTAGACTTGGGTCTTTTCAATAACCCTTAACATGCATTAGAGCGAGGGAGGTATTATGAAAGAAGCTTAGATGTAATAAACATTTATTGCACCCCGAGGGGATCCGACGCGAGATTACAGGTGAATTGTGGGATATAATGTTGTTAGAGGGGATGTTCCTTTCTATACCATATTTCTATACCCAAAGATAACCCAGTTAAAGAAAAAAAAACAAAAAAAACACCAACATCAAATTCATGAGGGAGACAAAATATACTGCACAGTTTAAAACAAACAAACAAACCACCAACCTTTTTACCACCAACCAGCTTAGAGTTTTTTTTTTTTTTTTTTTTATTATTTGTGATCATTTTCAGCAAACTACCTCCCTTTTTTCAGAGCAAGATCTACGTATAATCACACTGATCATTAGGAGCTAAGATGTGCTGTGTGTTCCTGCTGAGCACTTTACACACACATTTTGTGGGTAAACATTATGTGAGCATCACAACATATTTGAGACTTATAGATTGTACACTTCTTTGCCATGGGCCACAGTAGATGTTAAAATGAAGCACGTCTAGCTTACAAACCCCCACGTTTGTCTTTTTCAATAAAGAAGAATACAGTCGTGCTTGCCCTTCAGCAAACCTCCTGACTGACGCACATAGGCAAACAACACGCAAAAAAATGGTGTCTTTATTTCCAGTTTATGCCTCTGACTGCAGCTTGATTGAGTTTTTTTTTTTTTTTTTCATAAATGATGGAGCATGAATCTTTAATTGGATTGGATTAGGGCAAATATTTATAATCAATCTTAATTTTTCACATAGCTCATTGCAGTGCATTATGGGACTGCCACCACCATTTCTTTTATAATTTAGCCAAAAGAAGAAATCTAAGAACTTGAAGACATGATGGCATTGTCTATCCTTTAAAAAAAATCGAAGATACCTTTAAATCTCACCAGATTTTGGAACAGAGCTTTTAGTAACAAAAAAAATAAGTTCATATGAGCAAATAATGTTTTCTACCACTTTTTATAATGACATTATTTATCACAAAGAACAAACTTGTAAAAGTGGACGTCCACAGTAAGAGAATAGAACATGAACAGCTCTGAAGCACTAAGCCTTGAATATTTTTCATTCATTTTTGCAAACATATGTATGATTTAAAGACCTCAGCAAAACACACACTCAAAAAGCATTGAGAAAAAGCGTTTTAAAAGACACTGTTAACGCTGCTTTGTAACTTTGGTAGTTTTTTATCCCAAGTTCTCATCCCAAGGCGTCATCTAATTCAGGGGTTTTCAAACTTTTTTTGTGTGTGGACCACTATTTGTAATCAAGATTTTTCACGGACCACCTCATAATACACATATTACGATATTACATATTATAATCAGGTTCATTTGAACAACAGGCTTATTTCCATAGCAATGGAGTATGAAATCTATACAGCAATAAGAACACTTGGATAAGGTCAGCATTTCAAAACCTTTAGCGATTTTAGGGGATTATTAATGGTAATCTTAAGAGTTCTACAAGTCCTCAAAAAGTAGACTTGAGAACATATTTGCCTCTGCCCTATAACGTTACACATTTAAAAGAAAACACAGTAGGCCTAACGTTATTCCAGGTTGAAAATAAAGTTGTCAAAAGGAAAAGCTATTGGAGTCTATTTGCCAGCCCGATAGGAACGTAATATCCTCCTTTGTCACCCTCCACATCTTTCCCTTCCTCTTTGTATCGACTGTCTAATATAGACCAATATAAAAAACAAACAACTAAATAAATGCTCACCTAACCTGTTGCTATCCACCGATCCGGTGTTGTGGTTCTGACGACACGGAGCTTGAACGTCACGACCGAGCGCCACTAGCCTCTTTTAGTAATCACACAATAGCTTGACAATTTAATTTACATTTTATATAAATATAGACCTATGTTAGGTTCTTTCCATTAAATTTTCAGGAGACATTCGTGAAGTCAATAAAGTGTCATTTATTTGACGGTAACAATTAAGGGTTGACCAGACATTGTGCAAAAACCAAAGGTAAAAAAAAACAAAATAACA